ATAGGTAAGCCTAAATAAACCCACAAACTCTCAAAGAAAAATAACACACGAAGAACAAAGATGAAGAGAAAAAACTCTTTTTATTGCTCTCAATTGAATACAATGCTTGGAATGAATAAAACCTAAGCCTAGCAGCCTTTATATAGTATTTACAAGTAGATCTAATGGTTCAGATCCATACATATCCATTGAGATGGATGTCTAGGATTAAGTGTACAAGCAATAGAATCATAGTCCATCATATTGCCTTTTTGGTGAGGATTATCCTGGAATTTTAGAATGATATGACATCCTCCCCCACCTAATTGTGTGACGCCCTTGTCATACTCACTAAGTTGTCTCGACTTTTGAGCGCATGTTGACGCATGCCTCTGTCATCGCTTCCTTTTCCGTCTCTTTCGTTGATTCCCAGTCGCATAGTCTTGCCTCCATGCATACTTTACGATATCACATTGTAGCTTGTTTATCCTGTGTAGCTCGCCCTTGCTCCCAAGTTTCATCCCCACCAGTTGCATGGAACTTAGATGAATCGCATTAGACTTTAATTTGGCTATTGTAGGATTAATGCATGGACCTCTATCTATTATGCAAATCACTTGCTACAAGGCGTCAGCACCACATTGTATTGCCTCATGAATTCCATGCCCAACACGATGTCGCATTCATCCATTGGTACTGTTGAGAGATTCACCACTCCCTTCCAATGGTCCAAATGTAGCCTACTCCATGAGCTATGCCGTCAACAAGTATGGCTTCTGAGTGCACTATCTTCAACCTTCCTTCTCCCTTTCAAGCTAAGACCTAATCTCTTGGCCCCCCAGTTCTAGTGAAGTTATGAGTTGTCCTTGTGTCAACCATAACTTTAGCTCTCTTGCCATTCACTCGTGCATCTAAGTACATCAATGACCCCCTTTTGGCTTGAGAGGTGCAGAACATACTGCGCAGGGAATTGAAGAGTTGTAGGCTACTGATCATTGTGCATACTTTGAAGTCTCACATTCCACAAACATGGCATTTAATGCTTCTTCTGTGAGCAATCTCTAAGCAGTGATCCCATTGCAAGAAAAACCTATGGCTTGGCTTTCGCTCGCTTCTCATTTCCTTCCTTCTATCCTTCTTTGGCAATGACACAGAGAACCTTCTCCTTCGCTATCTTCTTGCTCAGACTGAGAGTTATTGGTCTTCGAATAGTTACCCTTTTGAAACCCTCTAGTGTTTTAGCAATGGTAAGTGCGTTAGCCATATACTCACTCCTCGCCTTCGCTACTCCTTGGAAGCCTAGTGTTGCAACCCTCCATGAAGTTAAAGAGAAGATCAACTTGACTCATGTCGTGAACCCGTAGCATCAGTGCAAAAAAGTCTACATGTATTCTCCTATAGAGCGGTATGCTTCAACTCCTTCATCCTCTTTCTGGCATCATAAGACACATTCTCTAAATAGAATTGTCGTTTCAATTCCTTGTGAGATCCTTCCTAGTATCTACGAAACAGGTTCCCGTCTGATTTATGCAAACTTTTGATGCCATCAACTCGCTGCAAGGTGAAAAGATAAAAAGTAGCCTGATTTACTTTTTCCTTTTCCTCGGTCAACTTATTACGTCAAAGTTCTCTTCATGTGCCAAAGTAAATTGTCTAGCTCTTTGCATCCCTCTTCCCATTATACTCCTTAGGTCTAGGAGTTTTGACACGTGTTGTCACCACTATACATGAAGATATATCGATCCACTGTGTCCCTTCTTAAGATAGCCTATCTGTTTTTCCTTTCTTCCAAGCCCATCTTCACTACCTCAACTTGAGCTTGATGCTTAGCTAATGTGTCGAACACCTTTGCTTTGAAAGCTTTGATGAAGTCTACGGTCCCCTGTTGATTCTCTATGATACTCTTATCAATAACATTGAGGATAGAATCTCCAATTCTCTCTAACTTGATGTTAACTTCTTCCACAAACTGATCTAATCGATCTAGCTTCTCATCATGGTGCGCCAACCCCAACACATGTTTTGCTGAACTGGTTTCTAGAGATATCAGCGCATTATGAGATCTTGATTGGCCTCGGGATTGCTTTCCTTGTTGGTGAGCACACTATTGCTCACTGCTTGAGTTAGTGTCACTTCTTGCCATCGTTCCCCTCTTTGAGATGTGGTATAAAACCCAAATAATTCACAATAACCTTGGATAATAGTAAGTGCTAATATGATTCAAATGCACTAGGAAAATTCTCAGGAAAGATTGAGGGTCACAAACAGTCCCGCTTAAAACTCAGCCTCCTTAGACTTTTATCGTTTTGTTGACAAAAATTTCCTAGACATGCACATGAACAAATAGATACTCACTATACTAAACCAAAGCTCTGATACCAACTGTCATGACCTTACTTGGATTGTGCGGCCTTAGTGCACAAACAAGAGATTGAATACTAAGTAAGCCTAAATAAACCCACAAACTCTCAAAGAAAAATAAGAACACAAAGGGCAAAGATGGAAAGAAAAAAACTCTATTGTATTGCTCTCAATTGAATACAATGCTTGGAATGAATAAAATCTAAGCCTAACTAGCCTTTATATAGTATTTTACAAGTAGATCCAATAATTCAGATCCATACATATCTATTAAGATGGATGGTCAGGATTAAGTGTACAAGCAATAGAATCCTAGTCCTATCCTATTGCCTTTTTGGGTGAGGATTATCCTGGAATTCTAGAATGACGTGACAATATGGAGTGTACCTACACAAAAGCCCCTCTATACTATCATAATTAAAATTTATTTTCAATTATTTAAAATAGCGATATTAAATAGTTAATTGTTTTTAGTACTGAATTAGTCTAAATTCGATCAAACACAGCCACCATCTTTCCTTACATGGCGAAATCTGGCCTGGCTGCTGGCCACGTAGTCAAATTGTATTCAGGAGTGTCCGGATTTGGCCTGGCAAGGCAAAATCCAACCAACACGACCGCCGGCCATGCCCAACCACGCTGCATCACCCCTCTTTTCAACCTTAACAAGCATCTTTACATCTCTGCACCACCACCATGTTAAACACCATGCCCAGCCCCACTTTTGTTTTCGGAGTTTATTATCGTTGAGTTTTTCAAACACTTATTTTTATTTGTGCTAAATGTGATTTTCATTTTCATTTATTTTTAAATAAGTAGATCTACTTAAGGTAAAAGGTACTTAAAAGATCTTCCTGCATTTCTACTAAAAAAATTGAAAGTAATTTTACAAAAATAATTTATACTAAAAAACACTCTTTATAGCTATTGATTTAAGACATAGGGCGATTCATTTTTATCACTATTCATTAGTTAGTTTAATAGCTCTTAACTTGGTTTGATTATGCAAATGGATTATTGATTTGATATTTCACTTATTTGAGTTCTTAACTGCTTCAACTTAATAAAAAAACCTTCAGTCAAATTGAGTTGACTGAATTATCCTGAAGTAATTTTCTAATAAATTAGACTTATTTGTACTCCATAAAATCTTCTCATGTTTCTTTTCAATTAAAAACTTAAATATTTGATTTTTGTTTATTTTAATCCGAATACTTGCATGTATCTTTATTAAATTTTTAGTAATCATAGATAATCTCAAAAGTTAAAAAGAATATTAGTATTATATATTCGGTTAATTTTATCAAAGCTATTCCTAATTTATTTTGTCTCATTTCTTAAATGATTTTTCCTGCCAAATTCCAGGAAAAAGCTAGGTGGTTGTTCCTTTTAATTACTTTGTTATCCAAAGGCTGAACTACACAAACCGGGCATAAATAGTTGTGCAAGGTACTTAAAATTATTTCTTACATTAATCTTGTTTAATCTTTGTTGGCTTTATAATAGCTATGGTTATTTCATTCATCCTAATCAAACTTTATTATCAAATAGGTTGGAAATGGCATCAGAAATCTTGAACTGTACTTTGTCAAAGATTGGAGATTATTTGCTGGATGCCACCATACGTCAAATTGGTTACATTTATCACTTCAAAACTAACATTGAAAGTTTGAGATCCTCAAAAGATTTGGTGAAACAAGATGTTGACACTGCCATAAGAAATACTGAAGAGATCAAGAACAACGTGACAGAATGGCTATCGGATGTTGAGAAGTTGGAAGAAGAAATACAAGAAAATAAGACACGTCTATATGGAAGGTGTCCTAACTGGTTTTGGCGATATAAAATTAGTAAGAAAGCAGCAAAATTAAACCATGGTAACAGATTTGATAGAGTGTCCCAACATCGGGTTGCTCTACCGGGCGTAGATGTCTTTGCTCCTAAAGGTTTTATGCCTTTCGACTCAACAAAAGCCACTCTTGATCGGATTGTGGAGGCATTAAAAGATGATAAGACTAATGCGGTTGGATTGTATGGGATGGGCGGGGTGGGTAAAACGACCTTGGCAAAAGTACTNTCTATTCTTTCCAAATCTCTTTCAAATAAGGGTGATTGAATGCCACAAATTGAAATGTGTCTTTCCTATCAATATAGGCCGACATCTTCAACAACTGCAAAAGATAAATGTTATAGGGGCGAATCAACTAGAAGAAGTATTTGGACATACAGATAGAACTGACCTCATAAATAACAAAGAAATCATGTTACCTCAACTTCAAGAATTGTCACTCGTTGATTCACCAAACGTCACCAATTTCTGCTCAGTGGGTCACCAGTTCATATTTCCGTCTCTTAAATATTTGTGTGTTCGGGATTGTCCCAAGATCACTACACGATTTTCCTACGCACAAAATGATCAATCCGTGCATGTCGAGGCAAAGGTACTTGTAATTCTTCACACCCTCGAATCAACGTATTGTCTTATGTTTTTGTAGTGAAACAATAATCAAGAATTTACTAAGATATACTAACAACATTTCACTGATTTTGCCATTAAAATGGACCAGAATCATTATTATATTCATGTTTGTTTCTTGTACTGTGAATAATAACATGATAAATTAACTTTAATATTGTCATTTGTGCAGGCAACCAAAACAGGCAAAGAAGATGGAAGTGTGGAATTCCCTACAGAGATCAACGTGGATAAATGGAGTGATTCTAAATTGAGTGATATATTACCGCCATACAAAGACCAATGATAAGGGAAGTGTCAAATAGCAGAAAGAATAAACAACAAAGGGTAACTCAAAACAATAATCAAGAATTTACTAAGATATACTAACAATATTTCACTGATTTTGCCATTAAAATGGACCAGAATCGTTATTAATTCATGTTAATTTGTTTCTTGTATTGAGAATAATAACATGACAGATTAAGTTTAGTATTGTCATTTGTGCAGGCATCCAAAACAGGCAAAGAAGACGGAAGTGCAGAATTCCACAGCGTGGCTGACTGGAGCCATTTTGATTTCAGTGATGTATTACCGCCTTTCGTAGAACAATGATAAGGAAAATGTCAAATAACAGAAAGAAGGAAAAAAAAACAAAGGTAACTCAAAAACACACTCATAAATCATAATTGTTAATTGTTAGCAAAGTAATATAGCTCCAGATTAATTTTTCTCTTTTTGTTGCTCTTGTAGCCTCTAATGGTTATCAGTAGCACTAGACTGCTCAATCTTAGTTACAAGATACGATCATATCATAACATGGACCATATCTTCAAGTTCAAAGCTGAGACCACAGCAGGAGGCTTTGTGAAAGGTATATAAGTTATATAAATCTTTCTCAGATAGTCAAACACATATGTGATATATCAACAAGTGATTCTGTTGACCGAATTTCTCATCAATTTCCAGTTCCTAAACCCACTGAATCCAAAGAAGAAAGGGGCTTGTTCCAAGGCAAGAAAAATCCAACTCTCTTCAATTCCTACGTTTGGATATGTTATGCTGCATTGTGTGAAGAAGGCTATGGTTCTGATATCTCTTCACAATTTCATGCGTCTTTATAGTGCTGTCCTTCATTTCGTATGCACAGACATTGATCACGAGTAAATGTGTTTATTCCTTTTTCTTGCTGAACTCTTTTTTTTCTTCTGGTCTAGACTTCAACTCTATGAAATAGAGAATTTAGCGACATTTTTGTTTTTTACTTTTACTAAATTCTGTTGACCTTTTATATTTTATTATTTTCTAGAAGTTTCTGTTTGGTTTATGAGGAAACTGAAAAATTAATATTATTACTAAAAAGTGAAAACACACCTTTCCTACAGATTATTGTCAGTCAAGATGGGCCATTTTAAAGACAAATTCTGAAAATATAAATGATTTATAATAAAAGTAGTTTTCTTGCTTTATATGAGATTATATTAAAGTTAATAGACTTACAAGGGCTTTTATATCATTTTTATATCTTTTATTGCCTCCTGTGGCAATGAAATAAATAATAATGTTGCTTTGAAGTTTCCGCCACCATCTGATTCTCAAAGGTTGCTTTGAAGTTTCTAAAGACCATGGCATGATTACATAACAAAACAAGCTAGCCAATAAAAAGAGAGCAAACAAAGCCAATGCTTTATGCGATTGTCAAGGTACACAAAACAGCTAAATTCTGAAAACTGTAAAACATATTGAGCAATTTGCTCAGATGCCTCTCCCCGTGACTGGTGGTTGAAGAGCTACTTAATAGCCCAGAACGAGAAAGATCAAAGATTTATATGAATTTCTCCAATCAATTTCTTATTCATTAGAAATTTGGAAAGACTGGAGTTTGTTTTCTTTTTCTTGCCACAGACGTTCTCATGGTTAAGTACTCTTTTTGATTCCTTTGCCATCAAATCATTTTTAGTGATAAAGGTTTGACCATGAAGCCCTGGTGTTTGATTCTCCTGAAGATGTTGAGAAAGTGAATCATTATGCGTGAAGAAACTTGTCTTAGTTTTTCACAGCAGAAACAGATCATGAGGAAGGACCAGTTTGTATTTCTAGCAGAGAGCTTCTCCATCTTGTATTTTAGTTGATTTTAGTGGTGTTCTTTTTCTATGCACGTCTGTTCAAGGGAAATAAATTCATTGATTTTCCATGCATTTTTTTCCCTTGTATTGTAGTTACGATTGGTTTTTGTTTTAATGGTTCTACCCATACCATAATTCATGAGAGGTCTATTTTTGAGTTATTGATTCTGTGGCTGCGTGAAGTCTTATACATTTCTTCTCCCAGTCCAGTTAAAATGTCCTGTGATATGTCCCATATTGAAGGAAATGTTCAACAATGATAAAGGAATGGGATAATAAGTTTTGACTTATTGATTTAGTATTCAGCAAGTGGTTTTATATACAAAATTCAATTACATTTTTTCATTGTATTTTCATGCTTTGATATTTTTTTTTAAATGACGTTTTCTCTCGATTGCTGTCCTCGGGAATAGTTTGATTTGTTGAAGGCGAGACGGAAAGATAGTTGAACACCTTTGTATAACGTTTGGAAAGGTTTTTGTAGAGCTTTTCATGTGTAACAAATGTGTCATTTTGCATCCACATTTAAGAGCATTCTTTTTCTAAAATTAATAATGGTTTAAGAAGCCAATTTCTCATGTGTTTGTAATTCAATCTGATGTTTTCGGAGAGATGATTATGTTTCTGTATACCATGTTTCAGTTGGACCAAAATCATACATTGACCCAGACCAATAAATTGTCTTGAAGTTTTGTTTTTTGAATGAGAATGAAAATTGCCTTGAAAAAATGCTTTCAAATGAGACTAGGCCATTAACAAATTGCCCTGAATGAGTTTGCAAGTGAAATTGAGAGCTTAATAAATTTTTTTGTAATATGTATAGGAAATGTATTTTTACAATAATCTTATCTATGTCGCGCTGGATTCTCAATTTTAGACTTTCCTAAAAAATTGTTGAGATGCCTCAGATGCCTTGGCCTTGACCACTGGCATTCACGGTTGAAAGGCTACTTTGTGTTATCAGCTAAACCATTGGCATTCCCACGGTATGTTCTCTGACGTTTCCTCTTTGAACTCCTCTTTTCCACTTTCTTCATACGTCTCCATTTCCCCTGATTCTTTAACCTTTTTCCTTTTTCATGAATCACCTGAAGAGGAAGGCAATGATAAAGTGAATTGTTGCTTCATCATCACACGATCTATTTTAGTTTTCCAACTTTGAAATTTTACTTTTGGAGTAGTATTCCAATGCTTTGCTTCCTTCTCTCATCTACCTTCTAACTTAATGGTGAAGCAAGAAAAAGATCTTGTAACGTGCATCAATCATCTGGAATAATTTCTTTTGAGTTTATGCATCATAGGTTGGACTTTTCAAGTTCTATTCTCAAATTTTCAAGCTCATTGGTGTTAAAAATTTGCTGGCCAGGTGCATTCCAAGAGTAATATTCATTGGGTAAGTTACTTCGATTTTATATTATTTCTATTCTGATTTTAGCTACCATACTTCAATCCTTTTTATAATCAAATTATATATCTACCATCTAATATGTTATGATCAAGCAACATCTTGACATCTTCAAGCAACTTCATGTTCCCTCTGTTGGTTCTCTTTCATTTTTTTGTTTGCAGGATATACTCTTGTCTCTAATCATACATCTATAGTCAAGTGAAGTTCTGGGTATTATTTGAGGGCGTCTCCTTACAGTAGGTACCAAAAACGTTTTCTATGTGTTTACTTCACTCATCTCATGAATTCTCTAACTTCAATACTTTATTTTCGAGCATCTGTAGTCACATAAGCATCTTATACTGTGCGCTGTTTGGCTTCGTCATATAAGTGTTGATCAAACGAAGTTCTTAGTAGCGATTCCATTCCCTCAATTTTCCTTCTTAAAACTAAAAGTAACAATGGATATTGCTTCCTCTATTCTCATTCCTAATTCTTCTTTAAACTATTTGTCATCCTGCTAGAAATTTCTATCGTGATGAAAAAAATTACTTTAAAAATCCCACCATATCTTCAGTTCAAAGCTTAATTAAATTGTTGTTTTTTTTTTTTTTTTTTTTAAATTAATATCCTTCTTGCTTATGGATAATCACTTGGTGGTCACCAAACATCTCTCTTGTCATATTCAAGTAAAATTTAAATTCCTCTGTTTGTTCTGTTTCATATTTGCAGGATAATACTGTCAAGTGAAGTCTTGGGTAGTATTTGAGGACATCTCCTTACACGGGTACCGAAAAGAATATTATTGCATTTGTCATGTTAATCTAAAATTTTGTTTTTAGTTTACTCATCGAATTTGGGCATTCTGTTCTCAAATCTCATGCTCATTGTTATCATGGATTTGCTAAGTTCTAACAAAAGAAGCTCAAGTGCTTTTTCCAGGATAACATCCTTCTGTTTTGGTATGATTACTTACCCTCTCTAATTGAACTTCATTATTTACTTTAAATATTGTTCGTGTTCTGAATTTTGCTTGACTCCATATCCTTATCCTTTCACTTTCAATATTCGCTTTGATTTTTAAAGAAATAAAGATTAGAAAATCAGAGTCAGGGAAGGATATTACGTAGAATTTAGCTACTTATTGAAGATAAAATTCTATCTGTATTAACTCTTTTATGCAATTATGTACACTAAATCCTGGTAGAAGTCAGCTGAATTGTATCATGAGATTGTTGAAATCACTAGAACTCTCCTATAAACAATATGAAATTAGAGGTACAAACAAATTACTTATTTGCTTATGCAAATACTTTCTTGATCTTGATTTCTCGCCCTAATTCTTTACAATCCAATTCTTTATTGTCAAGAACGCTTTAATCACATAAGCTTTAAGTTCCCTTCATTTGTTATCTCTATATCATTTGTCTTACATCAGCAGGATATTTTTTTTTCTCTAAGATTGTGTATACATTTGCCTTCGAATATCTGTAAGTGAAGTTCTTGGTAGTGATTGAAGTGTCCATGCAAAAGGTATGGGAAAACTAGCTTTAGTGCACTATTTATCTTAATTGTTAATTAAGGTTTTTACCAATTCTTGTATGGATAATTCCAATTTGAAATTGATGTTGAATTGAGGAAAGTATAGAATAAGAAGATACTGATAATTTTCTTTTCTTTCTTGACATTGCTTTAAAAGAAACAGCGCTTGTTATAATACACTTGCTGTTTGGAATAAATTGTGTTTACTTTGCGATGAAGTTGGGCACTGCAAGTTGTGTTCTCAATCTTCATTCTCATTGGTGATAAGAGAATTTGCTAAGCTGTAAATATACAAGCTTGGGTGCATTTACAGAATAACATCATTCGTGTATGATTATTTTATGACTTTCAACTTCATTTTTTTTTTTTTAAGTTTTTTTATTAATATATCGTTATTTTAGCTGTATTTCTTTCACTTTCAAAATTTCAATTTGCTTCCAAGAAAAAGAAAGATTAGATTAACAACTCAAGAACTGGGAAATATAAGAGTACTTTTGAATATTATGTGGAAGTAATTAACTTCACTCGCTGTTTGTTTGTCTTGACTCGTTAAAGATAGTTTAGAATCACTATTAATTTTATGAAGCATAGATGAAAACTAAGATACAAATGTTCCTCATGAAAATATGCATTTCTTTCTATTTATTTATTATTATATTTTAAAATATCATAATCCTTTATTATTTTTTCTTGGTCTTTCATTTTGTAATAAAAAATTGAAAAAACGAATTTTATACAAATTGAAGTTTGATTTGATGAAAGCTTATAGTGGTTCCTTAATATGTGAACATTAATATTGAATTGAATGAGCTTACACCCTATTGACTACCTTTTTACTTTAGTTTTAAAGACACTTTTTGGATTGAAAGACTCTTTAATATTAGTGGCTGGTATAGAACTTTTCCTTACTGTTCTTGGTGATCCTCTATTCTCATGTTAAAGAATATAAGAGAGCTTGTTATAATGTGCAATTGTTAGCTTGACATTAAGTGTTTTACTTATCTTGACGTTAGTCATAGAAGATTGTGTGATCTTGATCTTCATGCTCATGATGATCTCAAAGACTACGTTAAAATTCAGGAATGACTATTTATGATCTTTCAACTTCATTTTCAATCTGTAGATAACTTGAACCACTTCCTTTCACTTTCA